TTTTTATTGAGTTATAAAAAATGAAATGGATGTTAACAGCGTCGAAGGGCGAAAATAGGGACGTAGGGCGGGAGAGGACGATCGGAACAACGTAATGCGGTTATAAATCTCCATTTATTGCACTTAAGCCAATGTTCCCATATCCTACATTACAACGGCTTTGCAAAGGGTTCGGCGTTTTCCCTACATGGCCAGAACTGACCCTATGCATGGAGGTGGTGGTTGCCACATAAAATCACAGATCATCTCTTTGTTCCTGTAGAAAGGATCATCATAATTGTATAGCTATAGCTTTTATACGAGAATTCTCGGTCAACTCTTATAAATATCTATGTGTTCACTGGAGCCTGTTCTTCGAAAAATTTCTGTATGTCCACTCGCCAGCGCATCTCTCCATAAGCATCTCTACTTTTCAGAGATGGAGCTACGTTTACTGGTCGAGGGATAAGCTCACCTCACTTAAGTCAATCACAATTGAAGTTATCTTCGCTCAGAATCTCATTTAGGAAACTTTAACTAGTAATCAGCAAGAAGTCAATAGAACTGTGAGCAACAGTTTTGCGAAGGCACCTAATGCTACGGGCGAGGTGGTGTAATGGCAAGGGCGCACTATCAGGCAAACATGGTCATGGGATCAGACTCCCAATTGGTACTCGCCCACGTTAAAGGAGTCATCCATCCTTCCCGTCGTCGTCATATGGTCATTTGAGTTCGACCGAGAGGAAAAGAGCCCTGTCATCGGCTGATTACAAGTATTATTCGGAATCCCTTTCATTGCATCCATTTCCCACTGCGATTCTGATTGAAAATCGATGGGGAATTCATCCCCATACGGGATTGATTGACGTCCAAAATTGAACCCTCTTTCATTTGAGAACTTCTTGCATATAGAACTCAGATAATCATAGTGGTACCTTCTAATCACTGTCTTTATCGTTCGTCATCCTTTACGCTACCTTTTTGTCGTCGTAGCTGCAGCTTTTCGAAATGAGTGCGAGATGCCATTTGAGGCCCCACGTCATATGCCATGAATCCGAATCGCTTCATAATCACCTTGTTTGGAATGAGGCATTCAAGACAATGATGTATGAAAAGGGCTTCTTTCAAAAGAAACCCTTTCAATGTTTTGCATGTCTGGCCACTAGAGTACGAAACAGCCATAACAATATTCTGCTAAAGAGATAAACGGAAATGGTAACGAGGAGAAAAATAGTTAGAAGTGAAGTTCTACAATAATAGGGGTGTTAGCCCGAAAAAGGAAGCAGGGTACAAAATTCGACTTTGCTCAAATACAATTCAAAATGTCTGCTTTATTTCGTGTGCACTTGTTCTACACCGACGTCCCTTTTTGTTCCTTCTCCTTCAGGATCCAGCCCCCTACACCAAATGAGAATCCCGAATGAGTGTTTTCCTCCCACATAAAAACTTCATCCCTATGCAGAGTGTGGCTGATTTTCCATTGTAGAAAGCCTGCTAATGGGATAATAACCCACAAACTAGGGGTCCCTGACAGATTGGTCGAGAACAAAACGGAAAACGAGTGAGCGGAAATTCCCGGACTTCTGGTCACTAATGAACATAAAGAAGCATAAAGTCTTCGGGCATCGATCGTGCCTGAGAAATGTGCCCCGCACTCGACTTCCATTCAGAATCGCAGTGGCGTATGAATGCGTATGTGGCCCATACAAAGAATTGCATTGACCAGCCGATGTACAATTCAGTGCTTTTATCCTCTCAGACGGGTCTGGCCCAATTACCCGACTCGGAGGGATGGAAAGCCTCGGCCCGGCTGACGTGGAGGGATATCGATCTGAGACCATGCGTGAGTGATAGTGCGACGCTTGCCACTAAATTACCTCGGCCCTAACGTGATACCCCAGTTGACTGATGTGTATACTCCTGAGTAAGCATATGTATCAGTATAAAAATATCTGCTCCTATGTGCTCCGGCTAATTTATTTAGTAGGTTAAATGATATAGCGCCGTTTAGGATCTGCCTACAATCGTGAACGGTTCCTGCTTGATTGTAACTGTAGTCGAGTAAATTATTTGAAAAAAAGCTCAAAAACTCCTCTTGTACATTATGAAACACGTTTACCAAGAACAAAAAATTATCGCAACTATTTAAGGCTTAATTTCAGGGTTGGTAGAGGTGAGCCCGGAAGACATTGAACGAGAACGAGAGCTTTTGGAACTCTTGCGACAAGAAATGCCTGAATCAGGTAATTCAGCGGTTTTCCTCTTACACCCGCTCGAGAATGCATACATATGCACATACTCCTGCCCATAGTGTCATCTCCAATCCCTTGTGTCCAACGGATTTCACAGATTCCATGAATTTCAGATGATGCACCTCCATCTATGGCGAAAAGAGCTCAAACATTTGTGCGATTCGGCAAACGGGCTCAAACGTTCGTCAGGTTTGGCAAGAGGGCTCAGACGTTTGTTCGATTCGGGCGATCGAATCCTGAGCAGATGTAGTGTGCTTCTAATCGTATGCTCTACATTACAATACCCACGAAAAGGCACAGAATAACGCTGCGCGTAGTATTCCCACCATCAGATCTCACAAATCCCTTTTCTCGATACCACGCTCTCCCACGTGCACGTCAACCGTCAATTCGATCTCGCCATCTGTGTTTGTATCACTATTTCCATTCAAAACACAGCGCGTTTCTTTGCAAACTATCTGTAGACTCAATTATGTCGTTGCGATGGAATTCAGTTGAATAAAGTTTTCTTGTTTGTCATCAATCTTGCTCGAAATTGCACGGAATACCAGAACACGGACGGTGTGGGTTGAATTCGTGTGAAAGAAAGAAAATCAGTGAAAAAAAGTAGTAAAACTAGAGGTTGAACGAGAATGTGACGGCAAAAAAAATGCGAGGAAATGGTTTTTGGACGAGTTTACCAAATGTGTGTGTTATTGCGTACAGCTAGCTACAGTAAGTTATGTGCATGCAACGTGTAGGTCACGTAAGAACGGTGCAGCCGCTACAGCCTCTACAACGCCATCATTATTAATCGCTTTCGGTGAACAGGTTCTGTAGCCTTTATTACGCCTTATCTAGATCGTTTTCGACTCACAGCGTCCCTTGTACTATGCTTGGAAGTCACAGGTGCATTCTAGAGAGATATCCCAGAAACCACTGCTATCGTGAATTGTGCCTTTGATGTGAACTCGGTTTACGCTCGCTCTCATCCCCGCTCTTCAGAAAACCCAATCAATGGACACAACACTACACATCCTCTTGTGAGTACACCGACGGGAACTATTTTGCTTTCACTGGGTGACCCTTTGACAGGACGTCTGCACTTCGTACATATATCATATCCACTAATCGCATGGATAACATAGGAGACCTCGATTCGGGGAACGGACCCGATCCCAACCTTGTTGTTGTCCAGAACCCGTTTGGCTGTACCTCTACGCCTCCTTGATTCCTTCAGAACTGAAGCCTTGCAAGGAAATAGTCAAGTTACTGCGGCAATTGCTCTTCGTGATTAAAAGTTGTCCTTCTTTGAAGAGCTTCGTCAAAGCCTATTTTTGTTGACCACTCAAGCTCCGAACTTTGGCACCAATCTGACTGTGTGCATGCGAGTTGGCACGTCAATTCGACGAATGGCCTTCTCTTAAGTGTCGAAATTCTTAGAACCCTCAAGTGTCCATTTTTAATGAGGACGATGAATAATTGCCGCTGTTGGACCCTGGTTCAGATTTGCGACCATATGAAATTCTTCATTGGGGATGGGGCACACTCCACGATAATTCTAAGATACCACCTAGAGATGAAAAGCAGAAGTGTTGGTGGATAAGAAAGCTTTGATGGCGAAGGAACAGAGGGAATACGCTTTTTCTCTAAAATCAAAAATGAGGCTCCTTAAAACTAATGGCAATAGTGGTTGTACGAGATTGTCATGACGAAAACTATGTGGAAGGGGTATTCGGACGAGATTTCTTGTGTTGCAATTACGTAAAGAGCTGACTACATTGAGCCAAAACTGTCCTTCACTGTAACCATTGCTCACGACTAACTTATTGAATTTCCAATATGGGTACACCTTGCGATTGGTGCAGCCTCTACAACGCAGACTCGTCCGCCATTGGGTGGAGCATACAGCCTATAACTTCTCTGAACCCTCATAACGCCCTATCTGGGGTGCATTCCGAGATGACAGCACCACATAAGGCATATGGTGGGGCCATAAATTCATTCTGGAGGAACATTTTGCTAACCATTTTCTCGTGTACTGCGTCTTTTTAATTGGAATAGGAAGCTTTTTGAAGTAAGAGCGAACCGTAAAAGAATCAATCTGTCTGCTACCTTAAAAAAATGGAATAATTTGGAAGTAGTGAGGAACCTTCCATATATTGAAGTCATCGGTTCTTAATATTCTCAGAAAATCACCTTCGCTGCAAAGCTGCACAGCTTCATCAAGAAGCCATTTGAATAACTAATAATGACTAGGGATTACGGAGAGGAATTGAGCCATCAAGTGAATAGTAAAAAATGTGATTTAATAATGTTATTTTAGAAATAATCAGAGCAATTCAAACAGTTTTCCGGAGATGGAGTCTCTCTAGTGGATTACTAATGGCATTGAATGTTGCCAACATAAAACCTCCAATGAAGTGCGCAGAGCGTGAGTGAGATCAGACTCTAACGCATCACTTTGGGGGTTGTTCATGGGCTGTTAAAAATAACGGAAATATTCTTGAAGTTTGGAATTTTCGGAATTTTCATGCAGCAGGGAGTCGTTTATACTTTTGGGCTCCTTCAAGTCAGAAGTCAAAATATCACTAGAACTCATTGCCAAGCTTTTCACTTGATTGACACAAGAGTAACCTACTAATAGGGCCCTTGACTTGTAGCCTATCCTGGCGAACAGCCTTCTATATTTTCACTGCTGTAAAGCTGTGTGGCATCTGTCATAACTACATCCGCTCTTACGCCTCCGTCTTTCAAATGTCTAATAGGATTACCTATGGAGGATGACTTGTAATTAGCTCAGAATTACAAATGAAACGTTAAAAGGGAACGTAGAAGCCTAAGTTCAATGCTCAGGCCAACCAAGCCATGATCCCATTA